TAAAAGCAAATTATTTGAGCATATGAGCCTCATGTTTGAAAATAATACTTGATTTACTACATTCCTTTTGACATGGTAGTAATATGGAATAACTGGATAGGTAGAAAAAGCTAACGAAGGACTAACTTAATGCACACTTTTGTAAATTTAAACACTTAATTAGTTGACAGATCAAAATTCCTTCTCTTGGGCATTGTAATGAGCTCAGGGATCCACCTTGCTGTTAATTTTAGTGAGAGTACCATGGTTGTTAAAACCACGTAAACAGCCTAGAATGTCTACAGTAGCAAGAAGATGTACAGGGAGTCTCCATTTTAAGAGCAAGTCCATTCCTAAGCCTGTCTTTAACTCAGATTTGTATACAGAGCAGAGTGTGTATTTATGAAGTGGACTGGCTGTTACTAAAAAATGGCAGTTCTCCTTCCTTGAGCTGCAAAATTGCTGAAGTCACACAGTGTTTTTATGAATTGCTGAAAACAGGTTGTGTCTTAAAAACTTGTGACTTAGGTGGTTCATGAAAAGATTGCGTGGCTATCAGCGGTTTGTTGGCTCAAGGAAGGAGAATGCCACCCACCAATTTGAGTAACAGGTGGCCTAGTTCACAAGTCTGTAAATCTGATGTTCTTAATCCAGGAACTGCCTGTATTATAAAGTAGTATTTGGGGGGATTCGTAACTCAAGGCAGGTTACAGTCTCCTAGGACCATACTGAGAGCCAAGGAGAAATGCAGTTCCAAGACTTGAATGCCACCCAAAAGTTTTTTTACTTAATTGCAATATTTAATGTAATAAAATAGGGAAATTATTAACTACAGAGGGAATAGTTTCATAAATTGTAATACATATTATTCCAATAAATTCTTTGAATACAGATTCTAATATTTTCTTCAGCCTGAAAAAGTTTGCCTTTGCTTTGAGTCTTCAATTCTACCACTCTAAATTGTTCATTTTCTTTCCAGTGAAACATTACAAATAATATTTTTAATAAAAGCCCTTGAGTGTTCAACAGCTTCCACATGAGGGCACTCTGGGACCAGTTAAATTGCTTTCAGTTCTATATTCATATGAGTTTTAGCTGGTTGCAGCCATATATATGGCATACCAGGGGTTGTGACTTTAAGTATATANATATATATATATATATATATATATATATATATATATATACACACACACACATACACACACATACATACATATTCAGCAATATTTATACACACACAACATACAGTATTATTTGTGTGACATAGATTGTATACCAATCTAGATCCTACATTCTTGAAGAATACTCAGACATTAAAAGACAAAAAAGGAATAGCAGTAGTAATAATTATTGCTAATATGTACTACAACATACTTGTATATTTTTGAATTTTAAATGTAGCTTCATTTCAGTAATAAATTCAAGGGCATCTTCAATTATTATAAGAATATCAGTTCAATATTTTTGAGTTGTTGAAAGACATGTTAAGCACACACAATCTTTGTCATTAGCTGCTTATCTAGAGCAAATAATTACTCCTGGCAAAGTAATCCCCCAACTATACAAACTTCTGTGATACATTTCTGCTTAACACGAGAAAACATTGTTCTCTTTTGTGAATAGGTTGGACAAATACATCATCTATAATATGCAGTTTGTTGCTAACGCATATTTCCCCAATAATATTAGGGTGGCGCTGAACAATTTCAAATGATATTTGTGGGGAATTGTAGAACAATTGGATTTTTTCAAATCTGCACTTCTGTAATATGTTCAACTGTATTGCATTTAAAATTACTTGTTTATAAGTTTCAATCAAAGGTGGGTTCCTACTGGTTCGGACCGGTTTGGCCAAACCGGTAGTGGTTTTCTGGCCTGGGTCGCCAGAACTGGCAGCGGCCCATGCCTGCCACGCCTCCAAACCGGTTCCCCAGTCGGGGCGTCTTGTTTCCCCCCCCTTTTTTTTAAGGTTCTGCGCATGCACAGATCTATTTTTGGGCAACTGCGCATGCGCATGCGCAAGCAAAATTGTCCACGCACTGAACCGGCAGTAATGCCAGCAGCAACCCACTCCTGGTTTCAGTATATTTAGATGAAATATTTGTGTATGTTTAAAAGCAAAGGTCCTTGAGCACAGAGCTTCACTTCATGAAAGGGGTAACCCTTCATGATCGCTCCAAAATTCTACAGGTACTGCAAAAGAAATAAATAATGCTGAACAGAGTGAACTCGGTGTGGCATTTTTAAGAATGAAGGGTGAGTGCTGTTAGGTTTAGGACCAGGGGATTAGAAACTCATACAAACCTTATTTGTATATATAACTAAATATCAGTTTCAAAACTATAGTAGATACATTAGAGATTATCATTATTTCAGAGGGGGAAAATAACATCCAAGTTAAGGCCTGGAATGTAGCAGGGTTTTGGAAACAAATAAAACAAACAATTTGGACAAGCAACTTGGTTATTAAGCAAAGTCACTAAGTGAAAAATCATGTGGTCAGGAGTGTTTACAATTTTGAGCTTTCTTTGGCTTTACAATGTCAAAAGGATGTGACTCAAACAGCTGAGTGAGCCCAAACAGCAGCAACTGAACTCATGAGGAAGCTAGGTAGAAGGGCAAATCGTATAGCCCCTTTTCCCAACCCCCTGCCCTTTGGAATGCTGCTCCCAGCATTGGGATAATTAACAAAAAAATAAAATCTTTGTGTTTACATTCATTGGAAAGAAAGGGATTACAAGAGACTAAGACATACAGTGAGGTATACACATTGAGAAAAGTGTGCTAGCACAGTTGCTTGCCTATGCGCTTGCAGCTTTGAGCTGCTAACCATTTAGAAGGCAAAAAAAAAAGCCTTTAGTATGAAACTGATTAGGTTCTGGTTGATTTCAGACAGCAGGGAGGATTCTGATTTCTTTCACAGAACTGAGCTTTTAAATTTGCCCTTGGCACTTTTTAGGGGGATCATCCTTGTTTAAAAACATATGCTTAAGCAATCCCTCTGCGAGATGGGAGGGGAAAAAATGTCAGGTACAGGATAACAGATACTGATTGACTGTAATGGTCAACATGTGATTGAAAAAAAGACATTACAAAAGTTGTAAATGTAATCATTGTAACTCTTCTTAAAACTCCCGGAGGTGGAAAAACCACAAGCTCCCTAGATAGGCTGCATTACAGTTATTATCAGAAAGTTCTTTCATATTTGGATGACTAAAAGTAATGCCTATTAGTTTTCTCTCATACCAATTAGACTTAAAGTGGGGGGGGGGGTCACCCTCTGTGCATGTTTTGTGTGAGTCATTACCACAAACAGTGTAGAATAGTTTCAGATTAATTAAATCTAATTTTTATAATATGTAAAAATATTGTTGTAACAGGATTTGGCTCATAAAATCAATGTACCTTAAAGAAGATATGATTTCCCAAGAAATGATTCGACTGATTATATGTAACCTCTTTGTAATTACATAGGTTTTCTCCAGGATGATATGTCTCCAACCTGGAAACAAAGGCCCTACAGTGATGTATCTATCATTGCTATAGTCCAGTCCAGTGTTTTTCAACCTTTTTTGTGCAAAGGCACACTTTTTTCATGAAAAAAATCACGAGGCACACCACCATTAGAAAATGTTAAAAAAATNGGCCCAGTCTGTGCGATCTAATCGGTCGGAGGGAGGTAATCGGCAGAAGGCGGTCTCTAAGTCTTAAGTGCTATTGCTATTATTTAATGATGCTCCATAGGTCTATCCTGGCCGCAAGGTCATTTAGCCATGGGGGTACTGTTGGCTAGATTTTAATTGCCCACAGCAATGTTAAGTTGCTGTGGCAACTCCCTTGGTGATTGCTAGTACCTTTTACGTGGGTTAAGTATTGCATATGTGAGTCTAAATCAGAGTCTTCCAGATCTACTGTACAATGATTCTGGCTCAAATCCTGAGTTTGACCTTGCTGAATTGTTGGCTGAATTGTTGGAGGATTGTTGGCTCAGTAGTCAGTTGTCTAAAGAATTATCTTCAGATGATTCCATGATAGCAACTATCAACAAGCCCAGGCCAGCTGTTTGTAGTCAAACACTGGATAGTGGCCAGATCAGGAAGTTTTTATGACTCATTTCAGACAAAAAAAATTGTACTTTTACCATAGTTGATCTACCACTCCCAAAATTGCTTTTTGGGATTCACTTATTATTTAACATTTAATGCTTAAACTAAAAACATTTTGAACTAACATACAGCAGAAGTCATGGGGGAAAATTAAGATCCTAAAATAGTAGACTATCTGAAGCAGAACATTCCCAACTCTATAATCTTGTATTCTTGTATTTGTTTAGTTGTTTTCATATAAAAATAGACCTTGCATTTTTGGGGGGCTTTTTTCCAGTCAAACCAAACACAATGGGACTGCCCTAAATAACTTTCTCTACTTCTTTTTCCCCTTCCTTGATTGCTATGAGTTATGGTTTAAAAGAAATAGGGATAATATCTAAAAAGATTTTGTCTTATCTAGTTTGTAAATATTCTCCTTCCTCTTAGTCCTCTTAGTCATGAAGTTTCCAAGAGCTATTAATTGTTAAAATGTATAATTATTATTTATTAGATTTTTATCGTACCTTTTTATAAATTACTGAAGGTGGTGAACATAACTTAATACTCCCCTGTTTATTGTGAGCCGCCCGGAGTCCTTTGGGAGTGGGAGGCATACAAAACCAATAAACCTAAACCTAAACCTTAATACACTTTTCTCCTCCTATTTTCCCACAACAATAACCTGTGAGGTGTTTTGGGCTGAGAGAGTTTTATGTACTTTTATGCCTAAAGGAGGCCTAAAATTCACAATCTCTAGGCCAGCACCTTAACTACTGCACCAAATTGGCTTTCATATGTGGTGTGGTGTGTTAATACATATTTATATATGCATATATAATAAAGCAAATTATAACCTCTTATAGGAGCTTCATTGGAATACATTTAGTTACTTTAAAAAAAATAATGCATGCTCAACTTGTTTCATTTCAGGTATGTCAGAATACAGCAAGAGTTCCCCAACAATTGATGAACTTCACCAGGCTCCAAAAGAAATCCAGTCTGACTCTGAGGTGATTGGGTGGTACATATAGTGATAGCTATTCATAAGTCAACCAATCCTTTAACAGGAAAAACAAATTGAATCCCATTTCTATTATATTAATATTAATCCAAAAATGATTGGCTAAAAATATTCCTACTTTTGGGGCAGGCACTGTTGGTATTATTACCTGGCAGGTTTGCAGAATGGATGCATATTGATCCAGATTGTTTCAATGCTTACCAATGAACACGTTTGTCCATAGGTAACCCCATCCTCTCTCCTTTGATAGGATTTTATATTAGTTACTTAGAAAACATGTAGTATGTAGTGCATAAACGCTCTAGGCGCATTCTCATGAGGTAGATGGCTTTTCTCATCCCATGTTTGAAGGACAGTTAGTTTTTTTCTATAGGGGTGTGTGTGAGTTTCTTTTATTTTGAATAATAGCTTATTTCGTTCCTGTTTGCCTTCTTGCAAAGTAACCTAGGGAGCTGTTTGAATATGATGTTTGAGGAACAGTTATTGATTCTGTAGAAAGGTCACTTTCTTTTATTTTGAAATAGCTTATTTGGTCCCTGTTTAGCTTCTTGCAAAGTAACATGATGAGATGCAGAAAAGACACCAGAGACTGTGCTATGCAGTATTAATGAACAGTTTTAAACGTCATTCAGATTACGTGACAAAATATATATATATTTCAAGCTATACAGCATTGTTCCTGTACAGGTGGTCCTCAACTTACAACCACAACTGAGCCCAAAATGTCTGTTTCTAAGTGAGACATTCGTTAAATAATTTTTGCCCCATTTTATGACCTTTCTTTCAATACTTGTGAAGTGAATCACTGCAATTATTAAGTTAGTAACAGGGTTGTTAAGAGAATCAGGCATCCCCATTGCCTTTGCTTGTCAGAAGGTCACAAAAGCTGATCCCATGACCCCGGGACACTGCCACCGTCATAAATATGTATCAGTTGCCAAGTGTTTTGATTATGTGACCATGGAAATGCCTCAACGGTTGTAAGTGTGAAAAATGGTCAAAAATCACTTTTTTTATATTAATTTCAAATGATCATTATACAAACAATTGTATGTCAAGGACTGCTTGTATCAGTTGTGCTCATTATGCTTAAATGTAAGGATAGAGTCTCTTTGATTGTGGTTTATAGAAGACTTTTATAATAAGCAATGGGTGGAAACTAATCAAGGAGAGAAGTAACTTAGAACTGAGGAGAAATTTCCTGACAGTTAGAACAATTGATCAGTGGAACAGCTTAGCAATAGCAGTAGCAGTTAGACTTATATACCGCTTCATAGGGCTTTCAGCCCTCTCTAAGCGGTTTACAGAGTCAGCATATTGCCCCCAACAACAATCCGGGTCCTCATTTCGCCCACCTCGGAAGGATGGAAGGCTGAGCCAACCTTGAGCCGGTGAGATTTGAACAGCCTTCCGGAAGTTCCGGAAGGCTGGAAATGGGCCCATTTC